TCATCGGCTATCATTTAGAAGCACGATCAAGAGTCTTTTAAACATGGTTGTGGAAAAAAAGTAGGTGGAGGAAGACCTCTGATTAACAAAGCGAGTTAGAGTTTTACAGAGCAGGTGATCAACACTGCTAATGAGGGATGGATACGGAATGAGAAGAAGGTCAAAATCTCTTTGTGCCCGCACAAATGTAATTACAACGAACTTTTCATTGTGCGACGGTTTGCTTTCTTTAAGCCCTTGAAAAGGGGTGCCCTGTTAAGAACTCAGTTGTTGAAAAGAGGAAAGTTATAATCATTTCCTATATCACAGTTGTAATGAGATTCCACATAATAGCATTCATTATAAAGGCAGTGGCAATGGTGAAATCAGTTGTTTGATTGTCTGTCAGCAATAACACAAAGTTCTGTAGTCGGTTCTGCATCACCTTATAAGAAACTTTCATTATTTTAAGTGTCCTCTATACACGTCTTCCTACCACGTTGATGATTTACTCAAAAAAGCGAGTGTCTGGGGTTAAAATGTGTTTAAGGAAAAAAAAATGATAACCCTACTGTGGATGTGCAGAAAAAAACTGCTCTGAGATTTAGCATTATTGATGTTAGCTAACCCATTTGGTGCAGAATCTCAAAAAAAAAAGTTTTCTCTTTTTTGAATAAAACGTGGAGCTGACGGAGTTCACATTTTATAAAATGTAAAACTTGCGGAGCCCTAATGCAGCAAATAATAAACAATAGTCTTGTAAAACAGAACAGTTTGTGCTTTGTTGTTTGTGTTTCCTAAAAGGCTTGCAAATGATTATGTGCAATGCTCTTGAAGGGAAAATTCTGCCTTTTGTGGTGCTGAACTCACAGAAATAAAGTTCCTACGAGTCATTCTGAAGCTGCATCCACATGGTGCATCAGTTCAGTTTTCCGAGGGAATTGCTTCCTCTTGTAGAAAACAGAAAATGGTATAAATCCATGATAATAAAATGTAGAGGGGCTTGACTGTAGTCCTTAAAGTTGTCCCAAATGCATTCAAAAAGGAAAATCTTGTGATCTAAAACATTTGCACTTAACCAGAAAGTGTTTATGCGCATTTTTAATGATCAATCAGTCATATCCGATGTGTCTCATGTATATATAAATGTAAAAATAAAAATAAAAACGATTTGGTCAAGCTTTAACAAAATCATTTCACTGACACTTGTGTCAGAAAGCTCCTGATTGGAGGTGGAGCAAAACATCATCTTCTTGTGCAACATGAAAATTGATGTGCTGGCTCCAAATATGAGCCTTTTAATTATTATAATAAATCACTCATAATGATCCCCTGTTCTCTGCATTGCTACTTCTTGATCGCTTGCAGGAGCATCAAACACATGGAGGGAACTTTACCGAAGGTCGAATGGAGAGAGTTGGTGCCATGACAAGTAGCAGTTGGTAATTTGAAACAGAAATCCTGTGGAATATTTTATCTGTTTATGAACAGTCAAGTGTGATTTTCAAATATTTGGTTAATAATTAGAAACCAATGAACAAAATAATGCCATAGTATTACACTCTAATGAGAAATATTTGTTATTCCCCTGCTGCCTTTGGGTCAAAATAACCCCTGAGACCTCGGTTAGTCTCAGGGAAGAGTTTGGATATATTGGTACAGGTTCCTTAATTTATTTTTTGCCTATTAATAAAAATACTAAAAAGTTTTGTACTCATTTTGTGTAAAATAAGGTGATTTGTATTACCTGTAAGAAAAAATTGGGATTTGAGCAGCATCTTATAACTCCTACTTGTACATATTCACTAAGGACAAACAGAAGGCTGAGTTTGTTATAATCCTTCTTCTGTTTGGTCTGTGGGGGTAGGAAGCAGGAGGTGTGTAAGCCAAGTGATTATGGTTCCTATTCAATTAAACTTCTGCCAAAAGAAAAACAAAAAAATAAGCTGGAGCGCACCCGTGTCTGGGCAGATAGCAGCTCTTAAGAGGCGCAGCAGTCAGCGGTGCATTGGTTTTTTACCTGTCGAGACGCTCATTGTGTCAAAAACGCAGCCGAGAGGAAAGTTGGAAGAACCGAAAAGACCAAAGAGCAGGAAAAAGAGAGGAATAAAGAAATTTTTGACAAGTGCAGCCTCGGTTGTTCAAATCGGTTCTCCATGCTCGATCAGTTTCTTTAAAGTTATTCTCGGTGGGAAAGTTTGGCCAGGCACCTGGGTTTCCAGACGAGTCCCCTACACGAAATGTGCTCCTGTTTGTCCTCCCTGTTGTCTAATTACACCATTTTTTTTCTCTCAGACGGCTCCCGTTGTGCTTCGGCAAACATCCCTTCACATCAGAGTACTTAACCCTGATGTCAGTAGTTTCTTCAAGAGAGAGCTCCACTGGTTTTTCTCTCCAGCCTACGAGCTCATCTCAGAAGTTTGTTTTTGAATCAATTTGTTCCACTGCGCAGCACCATGACCCGCAGCTCCGGCCAGTGAGTCAAACCTGGACTCCTCCTGGCCTTTGGATCCCACTGGCAGGACCTTGTCTCAGTCACACAGATGGTGGTGTTCAAATAACTGAAGGTGGGAAAGTAGAAAGAAAACGACTGGAATAAGAATCAGGAGGAAAGAGACAAAGCAGCTAAAATTATGATTCACAATTGTTTTAACAACATTAAATTTGCTTAACTCAAAACTGTCTTATAGTACATGCAAACAGCAGTTAACACAAGTATTAAGGTGGACATACACAAAGCCTATGTTTTTAGCTACTAGATACATTTTGTTGCTTTCTTGGGGTCTCTAGAAGAGCAAAAATTTTAAATTTTTAACACCGTCTTCTGGATCTGGCCCCACCTTAAAACAGGACGTCACACTGGTTGAGCAGTCTCTCTATAATGTGACCAGATCCTTGAACAACTGTCTAAAGCTGATGAGAAAGTAAATATGTATTGTGTTTTAGGCATGTATTAACTAATCATATGTGACCATAACATAACCCACTTGAAACAGACTGCACATCAACTAAATCCCATGTTAATCATAAAAATAGATAATTAGGCAAAATAAGTATTCAGAATATATCCTAGTTAACCTAGAAATATAAAAGTTTGTGTGATGCATTAAAACTCAGTGATAAACAGAATACATAGAGTTACAAAAATGAGGAATTTAGACCAAAGTGTTGCAGTTCCACAACAACAAAAAAGGTTTTTAAAGAGTCTCCTTTAAGACCATTTATTGTGACACTTCAGGAAACATTATTATGAGCTTCTTTTATCAACATACTTCTAATTGGAGTCCATTGGTGCCTGACTGGATTTATTAGACAAAATAGGCAGAAGTAAACACCAGTCTGCTCAAAGTTTAAGTGTTGAGACAAATATCTAGAAGGACAAATGTGACTTTCTGCCAAATCTGGAGAAATGTTTATTGGAAGACAAACTGATCAAATCATTCCCAAAACACATGAGGCAGGCATTCCTGCTACAGGAGCTTTAAAAACCTCCTGAGACCCTGCATTTTTCCCTCTCTACCCATGATGCGTCTTTTTTTTTTTCAACTTTAAGCCATTGTCCTCATTAATAGACACTACCAGCACCCTCTAGTGGTCCCATGACAATATTACACTCATTCAAGTGAAAATAAAATGGTGGGGATCCCGGTAAAAAGCTTCTACAACAACTCTGGTTAAAAAAAAAAAATAGGCAAAGTAAAAATCTAAGTTACATTTGACACTTGAAACCAGCGTATTTATGCACAGTTACATTTTTAGCCTCACAAGACATGCAAAAATAACATGTTTTTACAGCTGAAGCAAAGTACAATGTCAGTAAAGATAAAGTCCTCATTTGAGGACATTGGGGCTATAATTTTGTTATTAATTGTGCCATGAGGTAGGATAAACTTGAAAATATTTAGAAAAGTTTACAAATGTAAATAGTTAGTGTACGTGTTATATGCGGTCACAGATTTTTATTGAACAAATCTGGAAGTATATAGAACAGTTCATGAGCGCAAATAATCCTTCCAAGTGGTACATTTGTTCAACCGTTTAATTATACCAACGATGTTCTGTTCAAATGGTCTGCGATTTCCTGCCATTATGTAATATGTTCTTCAAACTGAAGAGCAATCTGAAAGTTGTCAAAGACAATGATGATGCACTTCACTAATTTTGCTCTGCTCAACAGCTGGCTGCTGTATTGCCAAAATAACTAAGAAAATGGAACCACCAGAAAGGCTGTCATGAAGTTTCACAAAGGGTGACATTTTGAGACCCAGTACCCTCATATGAGGACCACTTCCTGTACCCTGACAGAGTCTGGTTATTATACTTATTAGGTCCTACTAATCCCTTTATATAGAGAAAGAAAAAAATGCACATCCAGAAAAAGCTTGGATCTCTAGATTCAGTATTTCATTAATTTTTTCAACAATGAATTTAGCTAAATAAATTGTAATATTGCTTGATGTGTGGAATGTTTAATGCAAGTTTATTAATCAGTAAAGTTATCTTTAAAACTGTGAAGACCTGTGGTCATCATGTTTCATGTAAAAAAAATGTGGCACGGTTCTTCGTGAACCCCTGAACCAGCTTTAATGCTTTGAAAGTGGCGGTGATTCATGCTTGTCTCCTGTTCCATGAGGACCGCTGTGGTTGTTTTATCAGCTATTATGGATAGGTTATGCAACAGCCTGATTTTAAAAACGAGTACTGGGGGGACTTTGCTGTTACATTTGCAGCTTTTATTCTTTTATTTTTATTTTTGATGAGCAGAAGCAGCATGATTTCCTACTATCTAATTTAGCAGGAGCAAAGCCCACAGTTTCAGTCCTTTAATACAAAAAGTTTTCTGGCATTTTCTCCCAGCTGTGTTTAACAAAAGCATAAAAGAAAAGAAACAGATAATATCAATACACAGCAAAATATCACAATATGTCTGTGTGGATGATGGATTGGAACATACCTGGTGCACCTGAAGCTATATATCTGTGTGTCAACACTTAAATCCTTCTCATCTGTTTCATCTTTAGGTATGGAGACATGGTTCCAAAGACAATTGCTGGGAAGATCTTTGGCTCCATCTGCTCCCTGAGCGGCGTGCTGGTGATTGCGCTGCCTGTTCCCGTCATCGTGTCTAACTTCAGCCGCATCTACCACCAGAATCAGAGAGCAGACAAGCGACGTGCTCAGAAGGTAAACGCTGCTCTCTTTGTTTGCCTAAACTGGGAAATTTGAAGGTTAAATATGAGTTATGTGCATGTGCGCATTAATGTGTTACCTAATTATCAAGTTTTGATTTTCAAAAGGCAAATATGACACAAGATCATGACATGTTGTTGAGTTAATGAGAAGAAATATGGAGAGGAGGACATTTTGAATAAAAATGTCAGGTTGTTTGATGGGGATGCTTGTCTTAGAAACACTTTGATGGTGTTTTTATATATTTAAGTGATTAAAATAATAGATGTCTGCACATTAAATTACTGTATGATTACAGAGAAATGTTATTTATTAGGGCTGCGGTAGCTCAGTGCCACTTTCTTTTTATACTAAGGTTGCAAGTTTGAGCCCTGATTGTGTCAGGAAGGGCATCAGGTGTAAGAAAAAAACAAAATTTTCACATAAGTTTGAACATAAATTATAGAAGCAGCTTTTAAAAGAAAATAATGGTGAAACTGTATGGAGGACCAGAACTAACATGATTAGAAATAAAAGCAGCAATAAAAAATGGACCAATAAATGGACCAATAAATAAATAAATACACTTAACAAGCACCAATTAAATCAAAAAGGGAAGCTTTACCTCATGTTTTAAAATTTTCCAGTTTTTCCAACTTAGTTCCAATAAAGTTAATATTTAACACATAATTTACATTTTACGGTTTCAAAATATTATTTTTGTTTCTCCTTTTATGCATCTCTTGAATACTTTTATTTAAATGTCTTCATTGTTTTTCCCCACAAATCTTTTTATTTCCATGTGTTGCTTTTACATTTCTCTGTCTCCTTCACTTTACCTTATGCAGGTCTGCCTCATTATGCAAATAAGGTGGGTGGTCCTTCTTGGGTCAGCTCCTCTCCTATTGGTCAACAGACAGGATGGAGCAGGATCCATATGCAGATCTACTGCGCATGCTTGTGCTGCATCACTTTAGCTTAAAGTTTAGATTAAAACAAAGGCAGGATGAAAACACTGGCCTGTGCCTTTGTTTTAAACTAAACTTTGGACTAAACTTAGAATACAGTAAATAGTAAGTAGTAAATACAGTAAATACAGGAGACAGAGAAATGTAAAAGCAACACATGGAAATAGTAAGACTTGTGGGAAAAAATATTAAAAAAAATTAAATATAATCATTTAGGAGACACAAATGCATCTACAAGTAAAATGAAATATATATATTTTTAAACTGTAAAATATAAATTTTGTGCTAAAATATATAATTTATAAATTATATAAAGTTAGGTAAAGTTCTCCTTTAATTGGTGCATGTTTGGTGTATTTATTTATTTATTTATTTGTCCATTTATATATTCCTGCTTTTACTTCTAATTATAGCAGATTCCGTCCTCCATAAAACTGACTGACACCAGTCAGAAATGTAACAATTTTATTACAAACATCTGTCCTTCAATCTACCGTAGTTCATCTCTTTGGCATCATGACACACTGTGTAAATTTGTTGCCCTTCAGCTAGACATTAATTTAATAATCTCAACCATCCAAAGTCCTTCTCTCTCTTTTTCAGACACACAGACAGAAACACACTTCAAGTACCAAATGTTAGCCAGCCTTTCACCACAGTCTCCCTGTAGGCTTGACCTTTCTGCAGGGCTGCATGAGAGTGCTATTAAGTTAGAGAACAGCCACTGATAGCTAATTGAGGAGAACGTCTGACTTGAATCCACAGAGCCAGGTACGTTGTAATAAATGCACTGATTTGAATCCCTTCAAACATAATGCAGTGACCTCCCTGACACCTCCCTGCTGTCCAGCGTTGCATCAAGATTCAGTTCAAATGGAAATATGTCCTTTGCCCACACTCCAGAGGCATATATTTTAAACATGTTGTTAATTCTAAATTAGCTGCTCTTTCTCTTTATATTAGGCATGTGATAAACGCTGAGGTTTTATTCACCTCCTGTCTTGGATACTGTTTACCCCTGTAGGTGAATGTGCACAGCAGGCTGGAGCGAGGTAAAAAATGTATGGATGTAGCCTTTTTAATGAAGGATCCTCTCTCAGAAGAAAACCTAACGTTTAGAGGCTGGTTTTAAGTTTTTAAAGCAGCTTTGACACCCTAAAAACTTTTGAATGTTCATAGCAAAAAAAAAAAAAAAGTTCAGTTCTTATTTCTGTTTGCAGAATATGATTATACAATAAGTCTGTATTTTAGGGCATGAAGTATGTTTATCTGGTGAGTGCCTATGAGTTCTAAATGTTACCAGGACAGTAATATGTTACTGAGTTTCTGTGACCTGTTTCTGTTCACAAGAATGTAAAAATCTCCTGTCAAGGATTTTTTTTTATTTTCTCTGTGGTGTCATTTTTAAAAGCAAAACAAGACGACAGAAAACAAGAGGCAAACAAGATCTGTTATATACAGTATTAACCCTGCTCCCCTGTTCCTCTATTACTACATCTCTCCTGGCCTCCCTTTCCTCTCTAGATCTCATTTGTCTTCATTCTTCTATATCAACACACTGCTTCAGGCCCCAGTTACAATTATGTAGTCATTTGGGAGTTTCGCTTTACAAAAAAAGTATTTTTATGTGCCAAGTATTGCCTTTCAGTCCTAAAATATAAAGTAGAAAATACTAATTTCATTTAATGATAGTCATTGTCTAGCAACTCCTACAGTTCGTGTCTTCTTCAGTTTCAGTACCCTGCAGAGAGATTAACAAGCCACAGAAACAAACCCTGATACTCGTGCCCCTAAATCACCGTTGTTAAAAAAACTGCAGCAAAAAAAATAAAATTGGTTCTTCTTTTATTCATGCATAAATCAGCTGTGCAGCAGTCACCATCAGAGTGATGGTGAGTGTCGAGGCAGCAAATGGATTGAGGTCACACTGGCAATGGGACAGCAAAGTCAAGTGGAACTACACAGAAACCTGGCAGGTTGTTGGGCACAAAAAAAAATAAATATATAAATAAATAGGCCGGAGACATGAGGGCAAAAGTAGAAGATTATAGATGAAGAGAGAAAAAGTTTGAACAAAAGGGAATGAGATGGGGACATAAAGGAGATTGAAAGCAAAGACAGCATCGTCTGGTGGAGAAGTTTCAAGGCTCACTTTTCACACGCAAACTTTTCTGATGCAGTCTGGCCTAGCTGTCAAACTCTGGGTAGTTACGCAGTTCAGACTCGATTTGTGCTGCAAACCAGGAGCAGAGATTAAATAAAATCACCGGAATCCATCATAACACAGAGATGAAGAGGCTCAGAACAAGCTGTGGACTAATTTACCCAAAGGACCTTCTCCAGCCATGAGAGATGTCTTCATCACTCTTTAGGGAGCGTTTAATTTTCTAAATGAAATTATGATCTTGAATTTCAAGTGATTTGTGAGGTTTAAGCTGAAATGTGTCCCTCTTTACTTGTAATCAGTAATTAATTTGAGAAAAAATATTTTTATTTATCCATTCATTTTGGCTTTATTATTTTTGATTTTTGAATGTTTTTTTACATTTTCAAAGGAACAATATGATAATACAATCATAAAAGTCTCAGTATGTTATTATTATTATTATTATTATTATTAGTAGTAGTAGTAGTAGTAGTAGTAGTAGTAGTAGTAGTAGTAGTAGTAGTAGTAGTAGTAGTAGTA